GATTGACCTGGAAGCAATAGTACCATCCCTCCCATAGCAAGTGCTGCATTGTTGCGCGAACGCGGTCGCTAAGCTTGAATATTCACGTCGCGTATTAAACCTGGTCGTTTGCGGTCATATCGAAGCGTAAAGGTCAACAGTGGTTGTTGATGAGCGAGCAATTATTGTGCAGTTGCGATGGGTTTTGTGGAGCAAGCGTGCCAGAAGCAGGAGCACCTGCAGATTAGCCGATGGTTATTTGGAGCGGATTCGTCGATTATTCTCGGATTTATAGCGTTTCGTGTGAAGGCGCGTGGAGATGGTCTGTTTGTTTTGTAGCCAGCCTTTAATTCTTCTTTAGTGGATAGTACCTACAATTTCAAAAGTCAACAAAATGCCACTTAAACCGGCCAGGAAAGACAAGGATACGTTCTGTTGAAGGTATCTTAGCTTTGTTTTGTTATATTTTGACTTTTAGACTATTTTAGTCCATGGGAGTTTCGACGACTCATCGCATTAATTTGTCCATGTGGATATTAATATATTCATTCAGTGACACATACTACGTCTGGGCCGCCTGTGAAGACAACTAATATGATCTGATACCAGTCCTGCTCCTTTGCAAAGAATACGAAATTTCAGCCTGAGGCCATCTACAATAAATTTTTTCATTTCTACCGAAATGTTTTCCCCTAAGAAACGAGCAAATAAGTTAAGCCACCTATAAAGTCGTTACCAATATCCTGCTTATGGACTTATCAACTTATCCAGCTAGTTCAATGAGTATGATCTACGTAATCCTTTACACTGGTGTTTATCAGTTTATCAGTTAGTGTGGCTTAACTAGGTCAGGCCCAAGTATGAGCAGTGTGCAAGCCATCAGAATAAAGAGGAAATAACAATTTAAAAATTAGGAAGGAAATTAACAAGGGTGAATGTACAAATGCCTGTCACACAGGCTATACGAATTCAAGGCCATTCATCAGGCGGTGAGTTACTCGATAAAGCTAATTTGTATTTTAGAATCATATCAATTTATCTTACTTCTCCAAGCGTTCCCAGTGAAGCCTCCAAAAATGTTTCCACCACTTTTTACAACAGTGACTGTAGGTCCTTTGTTGTCGCATTTGAAATGAAACGCTAAAGCAGCAAATCCATCTCGTGAAGCTCGGAATAACAAACGCCATTCGCTTTTTATAGGCAACCAAGTTTTCAAGACTCTTCGATGCTCTTCGTTGGTCAGTATCACCGACTCCTCAAACACTTTCGGTGCTGTACGATGCAGTTCATCCAATATCCCTTGCAGTTGATAAAACTTAGCTTCTGCTTCGAGTTCCTTGAGGAATGTAGCACCATCTGGCAAGATAAGTTCTCCGTTACGAAGATAATTTAGTATAAAGCGGAAGTAAGTTCCATCTCGGTCGATAAAGAAGGAACCGTCTTCAGTGGTCTGTACTTCATGCCTTCCTGAAAACATGGCTGCTAACATTGAGTTGGGATCTCTTGTTAGCGTTTGCAGGCTTGTTGTAAAGTGTTGGCCACCGACATCGAGTTTCACGATTGAAGGAAAGTAACGCGGCTGATTAGACATCACTTCAATGGGATTATCTAAGACACTTGCAGTAGGTTAGTGTAGTCTATAGTTTCAGGTACTTTCCTCTAATATAAGAACAGTTTGTCCTAAGAAAACTTAAAAATTGTGCTTAAGGTTTAGATTGCTGAGCGGTTCTGCACAATACAGGGATACCAGAACTACAAAATCCGTTTGCGAAGCAACGTGTTTCGTCGGCAATATCAAAGGACAATTAATATACGGGAGATGTCGTGTCTTTTTCCCGCGAATTTTAATTATGTTAATGTGTCTGTTAATGTATTTTCTTTGTTTTCGAGCACGTGCCATAGTGGTGGGCAGTCGGTCACAAAATTTAGAGCCTAAGCGTCGATGTTTTCGCGTGGATTCTATTTTCTTCTTTGTAGCTTAATAGTTCAGTTTGATGCGGTTGCATGAACAAGTTTTTTCAAGTATCGAGTATCGTCGATGAATTTGTATTTGCGTGAAGGAGCGGTGAAAGGAAACGATGAATTCAACAGGATTTACTAACGACGCGTCGACTAGTAATTTGTGCCGAGTGTGATCTTCTCGTCGAAGTATCCCACAGGAGAGGTGGTAAACTCGTCCCCATCTCTCTCTTACGACCGGCTCGTATCTGGTACGTGGCAGCTGGAAGCAAGGTGACCCCTGTAACGCAACATCGCAACTTTTTACCTCGGTTTGGTAATCAGGAAGAGGTTATACGTACGAGTTGTTTCGCTTTCCACCACTAATCATACGTGCTCATTTTTATGTCTTAGACAACGGCCGAGAAACAGAAAAACTAATATTCGTAACTTTTGAATGCCGAAAATTTTCGTTTGCGCTTTAGCCCCCTCCCCCCCAGTTATGGACCCGTCTACCTTCATACACTGTACAAAAACTACAACTTCTTATGATCAAGAGCGTCCACACACCACCCCCCCCCTCCACACCACCCCCCTCCA